GATTAATGAGATACCAATCAGGCTGTCAATTAGCGCGGCGCGGCGGCTCCGTGGCGCCTAGCAACCAAATTGTCCACAACGATGAGCGATGTCATATCTTATGAGGAGCAGAATAGATAGTTGAAGTTCGATTTTTGTGCTGCTTTGACAATCGTGACAATTTGCGCGGATGATATGAAAAAGTTTCGGAACAAAGCCAGCTCCTTGCCAATTTTTAATGGGCGCATTACAGATGCAACCACGTTGACAACTACATCGCTGCAGTTGCCGCTGGTTGCTCCACAGCAGAAGCAGCACACGTGCCGCAAGCTCAGCTCTCGCGCCATACCCACAGTTTTCACCATAACCGACGGCAACACAGGCGCGCCCAGCACATCGCTTGCTAAGGCCATGGCCATAAACCATGTGCCGCATTCACCGGATAAGCCGTTGCGGCAATTGGAGGTGCCCAAGGAGGAGCTGAACATAGCCGGAACCGAACTGGCCAACTACGAAAAGGTGCGCGTTGTCGGTCAGGGCTCGTTTGGCATCGCAATTCTGTACAGGCGCAAATTTGATGGACATCATATTGTGTTTAAGCAAATCAATTTGAGTGAGCTAACGCCCCCGGGTCGCGATCTGGCCATGAACGAGGTGGAGGTGTTCTCCAAGCTGCATCATCCAAACATAGTCAGCTATCTGGGCAGCTTTATCAAAGATAATACATTGCTCATCGAGATGGAGTATGCGGATGGTGGCACCTTGGCTCAAATAATAGCTGACCGACAGGGCACACAACATTTTCCCGAGCGCTATATAATCGCGGTCTTTGAGCAGATATCCAGCGCTATTAACTATATGCACTCGGAGAACATTTTGCATCGGTAAAGAGCAGTCTTTTAAATATATAGCCATATATCTGGAGTTTTTGGCCATTTACAGCGATCTGAAGACGGCCAATGTGTTCCTCAACGGGCGTGGAATCGTTAAGATTGGAGACTTTGGCATATCAAAAATTATGAACGCAAAGATTCACGCACAGACTGTGCTTGGCACGCCCTACTATTTTAGTCCCGAGATGGTGAGTGTTGTCTTCTGTCTTCTCCTCAGACTTGACGAACAATCTATTCCATGGGATTGGTGTTTACAGTGCGAGGGCAAGGAATATGACAATAAAAGTGACATTTGGGCGTTGGGCTGCATTTTGGGTGAGCTGTGCTGTTTGAAAAAGACCTTTGCCGCCTCCAATCTGTCGGAGCTGGTTACGAAAATCATGGCCGGCTCCTATACAGCTGTGCCACCCGGCTACACCTCGGGTCTGCGCAGTCTCATGGCCAATCTGCTACAGGTGGATGCAGCACGGCGACCCACTGCGTCGGAGGTGCTAGTCTATTGGATCCCCCTAATATTTCGCAGTCTCGGCAAGAACAAAGGGTGAGTTGCGAATACGCCGCCCGAGTTAGATGAATACCCCATCACTTACCCTCTAGCTACACCTACGAGGATAATGTGAGCAACAATGGCAGCTTGATAGCGGCGCCAACCTCACTTTTTGCCAGCTGCAGCAATTTAGCCATGGAGCTGCCCACGGCCCAAACAGAAACGAGGAAGCTTATGAGCGCTGAAACAGTTGCGCCCCATGAGGTTATAGAGAAGCGGTAGGTTTATTGGACCAGGCAGAGCTGATTTGTTAATCATGCTAGCTACTTTTTTCAGATCTGTCTTGTACCAGCTGAAATCCTTTGGCAACAGCTTCAGCATGAGTCCTATACAGCTGCCACCCAAGGCATTTATTGTCTGCGTGGCCATGAGCGAATCCCACTTTGTGGTCATCAACGATGATGGTTCGTCATACGCCTGGGGCGAGGGCACACACGGTCAGCTGGGCCTGACCTCGCTGGAGACCTGGAAACATTATCCCGGACTGGTGCAGAGTGTACGCAATTATCATATGGTCAGCGCTTGTGCCGGCGATGGTTTCACAGTATTCCTCACCCAATCCGGTAATCTGCTGAGCTGTGGCAATAACATCAAGTTCGCTCTGGGCCAGGACGAACAGAAGGATTATTTCACTCCTAAGCTCATAGCCAAACTGGCGGATGTGCGCATTGAGCAGATTGCCGCCGGCCTGCATCATGTGATGGCGTTGAGTCGCGAGGGCGCCGTTTATGTTTGGGGCACCAGCGTGTCTGGAGCTCTGGGCCTGGGCAACCACCAGCAGCAGCAGTAAGTGACTTTTAATTAAATCGCAAGAGACACAGGCACAGACACCCATTCCTGGCATTACCCTTCTCAGAATGCATCCACAGAAGATATTGTTGTCGCATGTCAAGAGCAAACCCTCAAGGATCTACTGCGGCCCAGATACATCAGCCGTGCTCTTTGCCAACGGCGAGCTGCATGTCTGCGGCAGCAATGACTACAACAAGCTGGGCTTTAACCGGCCCGGCAGGATTACAGCTTTTGTAGGCAATGACTAGCTACAAATTATGGAAATGATTTTAAAAATCTTATTTTCCGAACATAGAAGAAAATACAATTGCCCTTTAAAGTGCTGAAGGCTTGCTTCTCGTCCACGCATTCCGTGTTTCTCACTGAAGGCGGCTATGTCTATACCATGGGTCGCAATAAGGAAGGACAACGTGGCATTCGGCATTGCAATGCAGTGGAGCAGCCCACACTGGTGGATGCAATACGAGCACGTTACATTGTGGTTGGATACAGGTTAAGCTAGTTGCTAGGAGTCCACAATGAATAGTTTCTTTAATTCGTAGAAAGCGAATTGCAATGATCAGTGCACCATAGTTGCCTCGGAGGATAATATAATTACGGTGTGGGGCACGAGGAATGGCTTGCCGGAGATTGGTTCCAGCAGCAGTGGCTTGGGCTTGGAGGTGTGCACACCCAATGCGGAAATGGAGTTGGGTAACAATACAGCCGCGTTCACCAATTTCCTGGCATCGGTCTACAAATCCGAGTTAATCACAGAACCCATGGATATATTAGCGTAAGTTAACTTTTCAGAGCCGAGGTCCATGTAAGCCATTTGCTTTTCCCTGCGCAGGCTGCACTCATCCAAGGAACAGTGTGAGCGCGGTTATTATGTGCAGGTGAATGATGTGTTTCCGCTGGCTCATAGCGTTTTGGTGATGGTAGAGACGACCACACCGCTCATTTCCTCCTTTGAGGGTTAACATATGCACAGATTCTGACCGCAAGAGCTCTATTGTCCATTACTAGTTGAAATATTCTTCGTATGTATTATGCCTTTATTTATCAAAATGAATAAAAAAGCTTTGTCTCATTTACTGGTAATAACCACGTTTTCGCGCCTCCTCCACAATGGTTTGAACCGCAGCGAATGCCTCACGAGCTGTTGGCTCAATCTCTTTGGCCGGCAAGATGAACATGTCATCGCTATCTGGTGGACCGCGCAGCTCAAAAGTAAAGGTAATCGGCACCTTCAGCTGACTATGAGCCCAATCCTTTGAGCCACCACTTGATGGGTAGATGGTCTCATGTATGCTGCCGCTCTTATAAACACGTCCAGTGAGTGCCTTTATGCGCGCCGCTGCCAATTGGCCGATCGCCTTGAGGTCTGCATAATTTTCCACACGCTCCGCTGTGTGACCATATGGAAACATAATGAGCTGCGAGTAGCTGTGCAGAGATAGATAGGTGCGAATGCGTTCCGGTTCGACATGCTCTTCCAAAAACTGTATAATGCGTTGAGTTTCTAGCTCGCTGGCAGCGGCTGGGCCAGAGTAATCATATTTACAGGGATTGCCACTGGCACCTGTTGTGTTCCAGCTCAGTGGAAAATTGCGATTCAGATCGACGCCGCGACAGATACCAAAGAGCTGGCGGTTCTTACGCCACATCCGATCCCCAGTGAAGCTATAGTGATACCCATCCGGATTTACCGTTGGGAAGATCAGCCAGTTATGAGAGCGAGCCATGGCCTGCACTAAGGTATCGTTGGAGTGCAGCAGCTGATCAATAAAGTAGGTGGCTGTAGCAGGTGCAATCCATTCGCGTGCATGTATTCCACTCTCTATGAATACACTTGTCAGATTCTCGCCACCAAAGGCAATCTTTACTCCCTTGATGGGCAGACCTTGAGTGCTCAAACCCATGTCCAACACCTTTACCACTTCAGGCTGCTCACGTGCCAACTTCTCTAGCCAGTCATATATGTTGTCCAGCTGAAAGTAACGCTTCCAATCGAACTGATCCGCAGGCGTGCTCTCTGCTGCTACATCAAGGTAATTGGCGTCTATTAGGTCCTGAAAGTTGTAGTTCAATATGCGATGGCTCACGTTGTAGCTATGCAAAAGATCATCAAAGTCGGCCACTTTAGGAGCGGTCACCATAATAGTTAGCTTCTGGCCAGGCACTCGCGCGTGCCCCATAAAGCTGCACGAATCGCTAGCCTCCTCCAATGCCTGAAAAAGCTCGACGTGATTGACTGTGGCCAGCTCCACATTATATATCCGCGTATGATCGTAGCGTGCCTTGGCGGAAGGAGCAGCTGCGACCTGAGATTCGACGCCTAATGCACATCGATCAGCCTTGGTGCAGTGCCTCGCAGCCCGAGCGTGAGGGCTGAGCACGACCAGGATCAGAACAAATGAGACAGATAACATGTTCACTCTGGAACAGACAAATTACTATTGTTTGGAAATTTTACCCTCGCTTATCAGCCTCACCTTTGAGGGCATAATTGATTACAGATGAAATTATGCACATACATGTATATGTGTATATTTTGTTAGTATGGGTATATAAGCAAAGCAAGATTATTGTTTCTCTGTTGACTCCGTTAATGAGATCAAATAAAAAAATGTCTCAAGTCTAAATAAACATAAACATACCAGCTTGTAAGTCCAACTATGTTTTTTAAGTTAAGAATAATAGTTTTAGCTTAGTTTATAATGTAGCACATTTAATATCGTGATAAAAGCGCGCTTACGTATTTTTTTTTTTTTAAATTTTAAGCCGATAACTATATTTCGATATTTTGAGCTTCCCTGTTTACAAATACTTACAAGAGCTGGTCACACTATCAGCTGTTTTTTTAAGAATACAAACCAATGGAATCTCAATTTGATAACACAGAGTAAGTGCGCTTAAAGTATGGGGTTTTGCAGTTAAAATTACATTTGTTGACAGCGAAAACTATTGGAACCGCTCCTCGAGAGCTGCCTTTAGCTTTGACGACGAAGATGATGTTGATCTTGGCGATGCCGGCGTCAGAGGAAGCTCAGGTCACGCCAGCCAGAACAGTAAATGGGACAACAATTCAATATTTAATGACGACACCATATCAGAGGCCAGTTTTGATAATAGTGCCGCGCTGGGAACACTGAATCATCTCTCCATTAAAGCCATATTGAGCGATGAGGCGCTTAGTCTGGTGTTACAAGAACAAACATTGGACGATCATGTCATGCCCAAGGGCGTAACGCCTGAGGAGGAGCTAAAGCTGTTGCGACGCCAAATACAGAGTACTCTGTACAGCCCCAATCTGGAAGCTACCGCACAGAAGCTACTGCATGGCAAAGTGGCACCATTGGAAATGTTCAAATCGCTGCTGGAGAAGCGACAACTGTTGGATATGGTGTTGGCCAACGGCGGCGATGCGATAATTGGTGTGCTGCTGTTCCTCAAACGCACGCTGAACACCACCCAGTTCCATAACATACTACAGCAGCGGCCCAAGGCGCTGGAACACTATCTCAGTTACCTGCGGCAAAGCGGTGATGTGAGCCACTATATTGATATATTGCAGCGGTTCGGTCGCCACCAGGAAGCTGCTCTCAGGCAGTTTCAAGCAGCCATGACCTGCAGTGAATTGACAACGCGAAAACAACAGCTGCAGCGTCTGGTTGATGCGTATGCCAGCGCTGGTGTGGGCGTTATTTCACTATATGAGCAGGTCTTTCATGCGGCCTTAAAGCTGCAGCTGGTCAAGGAAAAGGAACCTGTAACTGGTCTGGCCCAACAGATAGGTGATGAGCCCACGCCCATTGAGTTTTTGTATGTATGCTGCACGCAGAACAAGAACTGGAAGGAACAGGACATGCTTAAGCTCAGCTCACCCCAGCGCTTTGCCGCCGATCAGGAAATCTCACCAGCACAGTATGAATGGACTGCGCTAAATGAACGCGCCCATGCACAAGCCTATGCGGATTTGGAATGCATCTTTGAGCGCGTTTCCGGTTGGAATCCGCTCAAAACGAAGCAGTTTCACATTAGCTTTGATTTGTCACTAGCCGTGCAGCGGCTCTTTGAGTTGCAGGCGCCTGCAACGGTATTACAGCTATTTCTCTCCAAGATGAGCAACAGTCCCGAAAAATTGGCACTGGCGCAACGTGTCAAATGCATCAAAGCCGTCATTGATGCTATGGTCAGTCTAAAACAACAGCAAGAATTACAGCAATTGAAGGAAACGCTACCTGAACGATCCGAGGAGCAGTTTTACTGTGAAAATGCGCTCAAATTGCTGCAAAGCAAACGTTGGACAACGGACAATATTAAACTGAAGCTTTAGGAAACCTTAGAACGTTTATATAAATGTATTTTTTATTACCTTTTTATATATGTAATTATTAAAATTTTTAAATATATATTTATATATAATATATATATATATTAAATAATCGCAAATCACAAGCTGAATATCAATCAAAAGTGTTTGTGTACCACGAAACGGTTAAGGATTACCATTTCGGTGTGTTGTGTCCTTTAAACATTTTTTTAAAGTTTATTTTTTATTTTATTGAGTAAACAAAAAGCGTGTATAGCCAATAGCAAACAAAGCACTACAAAAATTAAATTCTTTAAACAATTTGTTTGCCTTAAATATTTTTCTTAAATAACATCGCTATGAAAGCTATTTATATAAATATGCGCAGAAAACCGCAAACAACAATTATGTAATTAAGTATAAACATGTGTGGGCGGGTAATAGACAATATGTAATTTTTTTTTCCTTATTATACTATCATCTGAATTTTGTCGAATGGCTGCAGCACAAGAAAATCCCCGAAGCTCCCTAGGTCTACCAACTTTCAAATGGAAAACGGTTAATGGCAAGGATGTAAAAGTCTCTCCCAGCAGCCTACAAACTATGAATATATTGGCGATATTTTCGCAGATCGAAACAGCATTCCTACAGTTCACTGGGAATTTGCTTTCCACATAGCCAATTCCAATTCTAACAAGAAAATCACTGACTGATAAATTAACTCAAGATTGGAAATCATACAGTGTCGGAACCAAAACTATGAAGCGTGTGGACTTTTGTTCTCAATTTAAAGTATGGAGCGAGTCATAGGTTTGCAATGTGTGTAGATGAGAGATGAGATCTTGCGAACATACAACCATCCTGAGAAAATTTCTTAGTCCATAAAAGCAAACCCAAATCTGACACAATAATGGGACCACAGACGTCCACTGCTGGCCATAGAGGCTGCCCTATTTGTGCAGAATACAGAAAAATTAAGCCTTGGCTGGTAATGCGGATGGAATAGGTGACGATGCAGAACAAGCTATCCATTGAAAACGGGGATGCACCACCAAGAATGCGAAATTCGGATGGAAGATCAGTAAAATTATCGAGGCGATGACGGCTCCAATATTGGTGAGTGTGGGAGCATGGGTTGAATTCACTTAAGTTGGTCAGCTGCCTTGACAAAATTATACAGACAATTAGACAATTAAACAGTATTTCTAATATTTACTTATGTGTGGTGTTTGTGGGCGGGCACTGCAACTGACGCCATCATTGATCTTTGGTTTCCTGCTCGAACTGACAACAAATCGTAAAAACTTTGAAATTACAACAAAAAAAAAAAAACACGATAAACTTTCAACTTATGCAGAGTTGAATGTGAAAAATAACTAACAAAATTCAAAGCAAGAACCGCAAGTCCTTCGATCGACCCCATTGACCACGAAGCCAAAGCCAATGCTAATTGCTGCCACTGGCATCTTGATCACAATAGCTGAGCAGACGTTGGCACAGGATTGTCTTGAACTTAACTGTGAAACTATCAAAAATGGCGTCAGTGTCTTGGAGCGCACTCGTCGATGGTTGATTGCTATCCGACGCCGCAATCAGCGACTTGAACTTCTGGTTGAGATTCTGTTCAAGTGCCGAGTTGTTGTTGTTGAAATAAAATACATATGCCAGCTCCAGCAGATAGTAATCCAGATCAGCCATAAAGTAGCGCTCACACTCGAGCATATCGAGCTTGAGCTCCAGAAAGTGCACACACATGTGATAGATAAGATACTTGAGATCGGAGCGATGAAGGGGCACATAGCCCGTGTCCTTGCTGAAGTACTCGAAAAGCTTAAGGGTACGCTGGGCGTTGTCGCAACTATGCAGGCACAGCTGGAAGGCCTCCACGAATCTGAAATTGAGCATACAAATCCTAATGCGATATTCGTTGCGCTGCACACGCGAGCATTCGGCTATTTTGTCCGGATTGTACAGCCCATGAAAGGCGTATAGACAGTAGTGTATATAATGGCGCAACGGTTGTAATGTAGAGACATCTGCGCCCTCAGAGCTCGGCGTGCAGGTGCTTGCATCGTCTCTATCCCCGAGCAAGGCAGCAGTGTTGCAAGCCAAGCCCGTCGCTCCCTGATTTGGCAACGGCACATAGCTCTGCTCTTCCGGCGATAAGTCTAACTCTAGAGAGCTGTTGACATCGGCCAATTGCTGTGCATTGTATGAGTAACTAGCATCGTTGTGGCTTAAATTCTCCAGGCTGCTCAGTAAATCATCTGAGTCCTGGCCAGTCCCCGCTTGATCTGTGCTGGACTTATAGTTGAGCGTTTCCGGTGAGTAGCGATGTTCAAAGCTTATGTTTGCCTGCTGCAAGAAGTGCGGCTGATATGGCGGTATCACCTTCAAGTAACGCACAGGATCTTGGTCCAGACGAATACGTGGACGCGGTAAATTGATCTCTACAGGCGCCTCAACACACTGGGTCTCAAAACGCATTAGCCGCTTGGTGGTAGGCAAACACACGACGCGCTGCCGCATGCGATCCAGACTGGCGCCCAAATCGCGGCCGCATTGCCCGTTCGAGTTGCCACCAAAGGCCTTGACAATGTGATCGGTGGTCATGACAAGAGTAAAATCGGCGCCGCAATCCACGTACATGGGCCTCTCGATGCTGTCAATGGGTGATGGTTTAAGCACTGTACGGCGATCCTTGTCCTCGGTGCCCAGCTGATGCTCGAGATTCTTGCCCCATGTATACAGAGTGCACGTAGACGATATCAATGCAAAATGAAACAATCCGCTTGAGACCTTTGAACGGCAAAACGATCTTAATTTATACTAACAATAACCAGAAATGAAATGAATAACGTACCTGCAGTATTTGTCCAGCCACCTCGCTGGTATCTACTAGATGTGGCTTCATGTGCTCCGTTGGATCTGGCTCAGTACTAGGTTGAGCAGTTGATGACGCAGCCGTTGTCTGTACTGACACTGTGCTTGTTCTTATTGTTAAGTTAATATTTTCGCAAGCATCCGATTGCATGGCCTCATCTTCGGCACACTCTTTGGTTTCTGCACTAGACTTGGGTATAGCTCCTGCCACAACAGCGGCATAGGAAGTACTTGGCTCCACCAAGGCGCTGTTGTTGTTACACGGTGGCAGCAACGTTTCCTCTAACCGCTTGCTAAGCATCTCACGCTGTTGATTTTCCTCTAACTTTTGCTTGGCGTTGGCACGCCGCTTTATTTGATTGGCCAGACGCAGCGCTTGTGGCGAACTGCCCCAGGTGTACATGCGTTCCCTCTCATCTACAGCTAGCTAAAAACAAATGAATAAGCCAGTGTTGCGTCAGTGTTAGCCCTATTACTTACATTTGTAAAAAATTTCGTGTGTATCAGTCTTAAGCTGCAATCACCCAGTTTGAGGCGCAATGGCACACTCGTCTTCGTATCCTGAATCTGCTCAATGTTGCCAGTGCCCAGCTGGCCAAAATGATTGGAGCCGAACACAAAAAGTTCGTTGCCAATGTCAGTAGCCTCTACGAATTTGTTGTAGTTCGCCTGGCAAAGCACCAAACTGTGTGCATGCCCTAGCGAAATTTGTAAAATTTTCTATGGAATAAAAGAAATATTACTATAAATAAAGAAGTATTTAAAAATACATAATATACACGCACCTTATACTTAAAGAAACTGACTAGTTTTGGTGTTGCGATGTTCTCGCAACGGCCATTGCCCAGCTGGCCATAGATGCCCCAGCTAAAATCAACACGCTGGTTAAAAATGTTCTTTGCGATAAAATATTATTGTATCATACCCCCACATGTAGAGCTTGCCATCAGCAACGGCTGCATTATGATATTGGCCTGCCTCCAGCATGGTAATGTTCATGCCATCCAAAGCTGTTACCAACATAGGTTGTAGCGCCATTTGCATATGCTGTCCAACGCCCAGCTGGCAGAGACTATTATTGCCCATGGCATACAGCTATGGAAACATGAAATTGATAGTAACTTCCAAAAGTTAGAGCCACAAAACCTACGCCATTATTGGTGAGTATAAGTGTATGCTGACGTCCACACTTGAGCGCATGTACTTCCAATTGAAGTTGCGACAGCAGCTCCAATGTTTTCACAGCATGTGCAGGTTCCGGTGGTTCTGTGAGATATTTAATAGGTATCGCAAATTCAATGAAAATATGACAAAAGAACTTACCAGTTGACTTCTGAGCACTAAAGCAACAGGGCACGCCACTGGAGCCCCAAAAATAGGCCACACCATCCACAACACAGGCGCAATACGCACAGCCAGCTGAGATCGGCTTGAAACGTGATGATTCAATGGCAAACTAAGGCACACACACTATTTAGATAATAATGTTGATTACTGGATCCTGCTGGTACTTGCCTGATTGTCCTCATAGTTGATGCGAAAATTTGATAAGGCGTTTACAATGGAATCGTGCTTGACACGCTGTGACTCCAAATGAATAAGCACAGCCAAATACGTTTCGATTAGGCATTTGCAGAACTCAAATATATGTTCATTATTGTCATTGTGGCTTGAGCTGCTGCTGTGTGACACAATGGGACGCAGTGAAGGCGCAAAAGGATTAAGCTGCATAGCGAGACGCTGAAAGTAACAAAACACATTTTATAAGTCACGACATTGAATAAGGTGCATCAAATCGTTTACCTGTAGCACGCAGGGTCTTATATGTTCCAGTTTATCTTGTATAAAGGTAAAGTAATCCATTGACACTTGCGGCAAATATGTGATTGTCTCCATAAATATATTCTCGCTTAGATTGTACAAACATACGTTAAGTTCGTTGTACCAACCAAACTCCTGGGCAACAACGCTGACCAATGCATTGAAGGTGTCCAAGCAAACACCACGCACTTTTGCCAAAATTATGGCGGCCGAAAAGAGTCCGCTCTGGCACAGCACAATGCTGGTCATATTGGTGTGGTATTTGGTGTTAGTGACCAAAAAGTTCCTGAATTAAAAGTTTACATTACAAAAATGAGCATTGAAATTATATAAAATCAAACATACCACAAAGGCAGATAGTTCTTATCGTTTACAGCCTTCTCGGCCAACGTTATTAGCAGCAAATTTGCCAAATGAAACTGTGATGAGGGCGACATTTGCAAAGCGCTAATTGACTCATCGACACCATAGTGATAATCGCTGCAGGAGTCCCCGCTATTGACCACAACGTCTACAGGCTTTTCTTTGGCTTGCAATATTTCGCGCACATCCTCCGAATGACGATAAGTTATATCCGATAGAAGACTCTTCAGCAAAGGATGGCTCAAATAGCGCGATCGCAAAATATAAGATGACTTCAGGGCCATGGCGCTCAATTGCATCAGCGCGTAGGTGTGTCCATACATGGCCAACTTGAGTGCAGTACGTATGGGTTTCACGCGTGCCACATTATATGTGATTAACGCCTGAGTAATCTTTTTGCGCCGCAGCAAATAATCTCCAGCGAACTCAATGCAATGCTCAAAGGACAGATCAAAGGTGTTGCAAAACTCCCGGCATTGATTCCATTCGCTGAGCAACGCTGCGTCCAGAAAGATTTCAAATGGTTCCTTCCTGTAAGAAATAAACATAATATAAATATATGGATAATATAAATATTTGTGTGCGCACTTCAGCTGTATGGTGTAGACATTTTTGTTGGTTATAACATAGCAAGGATCATAGTTGATTTTTGGGAACTCTCCCTGCATAATCTCCATTTGCCGCAAAGAAAATTCATTACTACTATCCGCCGATTCATAAAACTGCACATAGTCCATAGGGGTGTGTATGTCTTTGATTTCAAATGCTTTTGCCTTTTCCTCCTTCGTTAGAGTTTCGGTAAGGTTGTTCCCGCCAAGATTCCGAAATTGCGCCATCTGATACAATTGAAGCACAGTCTCGTGCTCAAAGCGAAATAGTGCCAGCTGTGCCTGATGATTGAATCGCTGTGAGGATTTAAAACATGAATGAATGCGCGTTTGATAACTAGGATAGCATATCAGTACTTACATCATCTTCGGTGGTATGCAGCGAGGCCATAGCGCTGCTAATGACGCTTACCGCATTGATGGCATTGGTTGGCATTTCGCTTTGATCGATGCTACTTGCGCTTGTGGTTGTTGCGCTCGTCTCGTCGCTTTTGTTCGTATTACCCGGCTCCATATGCTCCAATTTTTCAGTATCTGCATCTAAGCTCTCCTTCTCGGTGTTCGCCACCAGTGGCTCTTCCAGCGACGTAGCTGCCGTTGAAGCGCCTGAATCACTGCGACTGTTCAAATCCACATATTGTATACCATACAATATATTGGAGCTAATGAGTATGTCCACACAGTGGTTGGGTATCTTGTACAAAAACAATGGCTTCAAAGTAATATCGATTCTGTGCACGGTCAGGCTGCAGCTGTTGCTATGCAAAGCGCTCAACAGATAAGTGCTACGCAGATTTTGTATGGTATAAAATGAGCCGTTGGTGTTGCCCAGTGGTTCCGGTGTAACTGATGGCGAGTCCATAATAGCAAATGTGCCCATATTTGTCTCTGGCATAACTGTAATTAAATAATAAATAGTGCAATCGATTATAATTCTTAGGATTCAAAGTGTTGACAGCACGTACATTCGTCTATCTTTTGTCGCTGATCGGAGAGGCGCAATTTGATAGCCTGCAACTTCTTGGAGCCCAGACTTTTGAGAGATGCAAGGCGTGCCCGTGTGGCTGGCAAAATGCCATCGAAGCTATTGACGGCCAACTGCTGCTGCTGGAAGCGCACACCACTGCTTTCGGCATAGGATGGCGGCGACGGTGGCATTTGCGTGTTGGCATCACTGATTGCCATACTAGATTCAGCACCACCAGCAGTGAGTGGTACTGTTTGTGTGCTTGGTGCGATTTCATCGCTGGCAGGTGGCGCGAAAACATCCTCCTCTAGCTGGCTGCTGTCCGAGGCCGGATCAGAACTGTTGCTTTGGCGCGCAACGTTTCCGGCAGCGTTTTGATGCTTCGAATGCACGGACATGACAATCTGCCAGGCGCCCTCACGTGACGTAGGCGAGCTATCACCAGGATAGACATACTTGATGGCTTTTTGTTCGAGCAGCAGCTTATATTGAGCCTTAACTGACGATGTGATCTGACGATGGCAAAACAAAAATTGTTAACTTTGTTTATTTGTGCATTAATAGTGGCAGCTTACCAGCAACATGACCCCATCAAATGTATTATCCTTGCAAACTGTCAAACGCACCACGGATCCATTTTGAATGGTTGTGCTGGCTATCATTGGACAATTTGGACTTAGGCCCACAAAGCATATGGATCCATCTGAGTAGCCAATAATGGCGCGATTTAAGCCATAGTACGTCTTCCACCATACGACAGAGAGCGGATAGGGACACGTTTTAGATGCCATGAACGACGTAGCCATTACTTGACTGTTGCCCGTAGTATCAAAGGGCGGTGCTTGCACTTGGACGGCATGCTCCGTGGCAGACTCCACTGCCACAGGACCATTGCCCAACAAATGATCGGGCAATTCATGACACAGCGGCTCCTCGTCTAAATTATCAGCCTCTTTGTCCAGTTTAACATGGTGCAGTTGCTCTGCCAACTGTTCCGAATTCCACTGCTGTTCAAACGCCTCGCCCCGTGCCGTAGAATGATTAGGGCATTTCTTTGAATTGGGACACTCGTGCGGACCAACAAATGGTATTATATAGGATGTCACCTGCGTGGTGCTGTACAACGAACAGGCGGACAAATCGTGCGTCTTGTCTACTAGAGAGAGTGCGGGCACAATATGCAGCGTGTTGTCGAAACCTGTTGATAGGTAAGGAAGGCATGGTAATAGCTGGGTTCAGTAACACTTTAATGTACCTGTCCCCTACATTCACCGACCGTTCAAGAAGCAGCCAATCAAAACAAAATATGCTAAAGAAAATCAATAATGTAAATCGCGTACATGTGTACACGCACACACACATACACACACGCACACACACACCGGACCACTACGCTCCCACCCACAGCATCAAAAGTAATTTTAGGCGTCACTATGTGTAGCACCTTATCAGCAGCCCCATCCCTACCCCCAAAACATGTCCTGCCCGACGTCACATACTTACATAGAACCAACAGCCAAATGCCCGCAGGATCGAAGCAGACATCGTGTATGACACGATTGGTGCGCCGGAACCAGGAGATCATCTTGAGGACCTCTTGGCTACCGCCAGCGCTGATATAACGCAGCACAATCTCATTTTCCTCGCTGACCAGGCACAGGAATTGTTTTTCATCGAATGGTGTGACTGTGACGGTGGAGAGCTTACAGCTGAAATTCGTAATAAGCGGACGAAGCTCAAAGATTTGTAAGTCTTTGAGCTCGGCATGCCCATGCACCGCCATCACTTGAAGTTTTTTGGTCGCTTGACGCTGACGGACCTGCTTACAGCGTTTCTTTTTTGTTGCACAAATCAAATTTTAATTTTTTGTACTATTGCCATGTTTCCATAGCAAACATTTGGTATCGCATCTAAAAACTATCGGCAGTATACGATAGGCTGTTTGCAGGGAACGCATCCAAATTAGTACATTATACCATCAAATATAAACTTAACAATTTTGACATATCTTAAATAAAAAAATATCGTATTTGCTTTGTTCAGAAACATGTGTGGTATAACAAAAAGTCAATATCATACTAGACATAATTTCAAAATTAACAAAGGTATCGATTTGTCATAACCGACTTTTGACTTTCGGCCTAAATCTGCATTTGTTGATGGATTAACTGCAAAATAGCCAAAAAAAAAAAAATATGCTATATTAACTTCTAAAGATCTCTGACGTTACATAAACTGTTATCTATTATCAAGTGCTAAATAAAAAAGTTATTAAAAACTAGTCTCCTAGCAAGAAATAGTTTCCTATCCAAAATACAGTGTTAGCAAATGCTAAAGTTGCAAAAGTAAAAACCTAAATATATTGACGAGGTGGCAACATCGATATTTTTCATGCATCTCTACAATCAAAATTAACGGCGGGAATGGAATTTTGGCGTCGCTTGTTTTTACCGATCGACGAATTTGAGTTGAAAACACGGATCAATTGATAAATAAAATAAATCAATAATGGAATCACGTCTGCCAAAGCCATCTGGTCTAAAGAGGCCAATGTCTGCGATAAAACAAACTTTACCAACTGATCGCAATAAAGCGCTGATGAGCAACATGAATGCAAATACAACATACAGCGGCCCAACAGTTCAGCCACTTACCAGAGAGTTGCAAAACATTCCTCAAGCATCTCTGATGCGGCAAGGCGGTAAGTTAATTAGTTATCCATTGCAACTGGGTATTAACAGCGCCAATAACAACATAGCTCGCGCCCTTTCACCCGAGCCGAGGAAACCAATCGGTATGCAAAATAGGTCTAAATTGCGGCGTAGTCGCTCTGCGTGTGACATCAGCGAGATAAGGCAAAATCTCAAGCGGATTGGTGCACCCAATCTGTCAACCATACCGTCAAAATTAACACGGCATGCCAACAGTACAATGACTGCGAATACGACAACGGGCTCAGAGTCAACTACAGGTATGTGTCGCACTGCCCGTGCAGGTTCGGCACCAGCCAGGCGGCTAAATGTAGCAGCACCAGCTCCGGCAGCGACCACGCGTCCGTTGCCGCGGACAGCTGCGTCGACGAACAAAGCTAAGCCAGCTACGGGCACTGCTGGTGGTGGTGCAGCGGCTGCTGCACCCAAGCGCATTGCCCCTTATGACTTCAAGGCACGCTTTCACGATCTACTGGAGAAGCACAAAGTGCTTAAATCCAAATATGAGAAGCAAGTAGATGATATGGGGGAGCTCGAGTCGCTGCCCACGCAGCTGGAGGAATCTCAAACAAAACTTATTGAAACGGAGTCAATGCTGAAACATACACAGACAGAAAAAGAGTGTCTGCAGCGGCAAATAAAACAACAAGTAGAAAGGATTGAGAAAATAACTAGCACGTTGGGTCGCGCAAAGGATGAACTAGATCAGTTGAAAGTCGTGCATCAGGTAAGCCGCTATAGCATTGTATGACCTGATAATTATTTTCCAATTTGCATTGCAGACTATCAAAACCGATCATGACAAACTGTCCACAGAGGTGTTGGATCTGCGCCTTAGGAATGAGGAACTCATACGCAGCAATGAGCAGTTGGCTGCTGATCTGAGCACATGCAGGGAGCAGCTGTTCCAGTCGAACATAGAACGGAAAGAACTGCATAACACAATTATGGATTTACGTGGCAATATACGAGTTTTTTGCCGTGTGCGTCCGCCGCTTGATTTTGAATTGGGACGTTTGTCCTGCAGTTGGACGTACCACGATGAGGCAACAGTTGAGCTACAGAGCATAGATAGCCAAGCGAAGAACAAGATGGGTCAACAGATATTCACGTTTGATCAGGTGTTTCATCCAAACTCAACGCAACACAATATTTTTGAAATGGTTGCACCATTAATTCAATCTGCCCTGGATGGTTATAATATATGCATCTTTGCCTACGGCCAAACGGGTAGTGGAAAAACATATACGATGGACGGCGTACCCGACAATGTGGGCGTTATACCACGCACAGTTGATCTGCTGTTTGACTCCATCAAGAACTATCGCAATTTGGGCTGGGAATATGTTATTAAGGCAACGTTTTTGGAAATATATAATGAGGTGCTTTACGATCTGTTGAGCGATGAGCAAAAAGAAATGGAGATCCGCATGGCCAAAAATTCCAGCAAGAATGACATCTATGTGTCTAATATAACTGTGGAAACAGTCACGGATCCCAATCATTTAAGACAACTCATGGAAACTGCCAAAATGAATCGCTCCACGGCTTCTACAGTGGGCAATGAACGCTCATCACGATCACATGCGGTTACCAAGCTAGAATTGATCGGCCAACACGCAGAGAAGCAGGAGATGTCAGTGGGATCGATTAATCTGGTCGATTTGGCTGGCTCGGAATCGCCAAAGACCAGCGTAAGAATGACGGAAACCAAAAATATAAATCGCTCGCTCTCCGAGCTAACAAATGTTATTTTGGCGTTACTACAAAAACAAGATCATATACCCTACCGCAACTCGAAACTTACACATTTGTTGATGCCGGCGCTGGGCGGAAATTCAAAGACCCTGATGTTTATTAATGTAGCACCGTTCCAGGACTGTTTCCAGGAGTCGGTCAAATCGCTGCGCTTTGCTGCCTCCGTTAATTCTTGCAAAGTGGCCAAGGCAAAACGCAATCGTTACTTGAACAATTCCACGGCTAACAACAGCAGCTGCGAAAAGTAAATACTGGCATTTCATATACGAGATTACAATTATCTGGATCGACAGTTTTTTGTAAATCTCTTTTTATCAATTTACATGCACAATCTTAATTTTACTACTGTCTGTTATCACTTAACTTATAAAGGTGTATGTTTAGTGCAAAAATAAACAAATAAAAACAACAACGATTACAGTGTCATTTTATAGTTGTGGATTGTTTGTTTACATGGCTCCCACGGCCTGCCGCACTTCTAGAGGAATCTTCTCCACTAGCTCTTTGTGATTATTCCCGACGCTGGCGAGCACACCCCTGCTATTCACGTGCTCCACATCTGCATGATATTCATAATGTTCGCCATTGATATTAGTCAGGGTGCCGCCATTTGCCTCCAACACCGCCTCCGGTGCGCAAGTGTCCCATTTTTTGCATCCTGGCGTGGCAAATACATAAGCATGCGCCTTTCCCTCAAGCAGTTGTAGCACCTTAAAGCCAGCGCCGCCCACCTTAAGCACTTTGCTGGCATTGAAGACATCCACTGCCTTTTGATGCAGCGCATTGGAATGTGAACGGGTCGTTGTGATGATGAATTCACCCGCTGGCGGTTTCACAGGAGTGAATCCTCCAGTACCAAGCCCTTTAAGACCCCAAATTGTGCGGCCTAGCTCTCCGCTGGATTGCTTGTAAAAGGGCTGATGAATAATGCCACCCACAGCCGAGTTTTTAATAGCTATCCCAATGAGCACAGTAACATGTTCCACATAGCCTAAGGTGGAGCGACCAGAATGGAAAACAATATAAGTTAGATATTAACATAATAATTTTCGGCTTACCTTGTGTATACTCCGCAGTACCATCTAAGGGATCGACCCATATGACAAAGTCCTCCGGCTTGGCATCTTGCCATGCCGCCGGACAGATTTGCTTCAGGAATGCTTCGTCCTGTTCACCGACCAGCCAATCATCGCATACATTCAAGTCGGAGCCGCCCTCTTCGCCAATAATTTTAATGCTGGGAAATTTCTTCGTTAGCGACGCAATGATGCACCGTTGAGCAGAACGGTCTGCCTCAGTTTGTGGATCATTTTTTCCCTTGTCCACAATGCCCAAATCGCCCTGCTTCAGAACATCGCGTATGATGACGCCGGCTCGTTTTGCAGTGTTGATGGACAGCGCCATTATACGCATTATAAGTGGAGCGTTTGTGGCCATGTTAAAATCTTAGGTAGTTTTGACTGTGGAATGGATTCTATATCGAAATACAGGTACTTTCACTGCTTTCGTAAAAGATTTGGCAAATCAGCTGTGCCAACAGCGAGCAAGCAGGGTACGAAACTCACAACCTTTGCGAGCAAAATAGTCGAGCAAAATTAAATTATCCATAACTAATATTTAATAAACATGTTGAAATAAATTATAAATAAATAAGCAAAAATAACTAAAAAATATTTTGCATATAATTCCTTAAATATATTGGATACGCAGCGCAACATCTACCCTTACCATATATTATTATTCTTACATAGATTTATTCCTACAAAAAGGTGTATTCAAACAAGGCCAATAAAACGCCTGCATAGAGGTCAGCATACTATTTACTGTAACTTACACGATCAGCATACTTCCCTACAGTCTGGCCATTCTGGCCATTCATTCTCTGTCTGGCAACGCTGCGGCGCATACAACCTTTGGACCCCCAACCACCCCCCTTCACAATCAACAATATCTGCTGCTGCTCAAGAGGTAAATTAGCATAGCACACGATTAATAATTAATAAAAATTTTCCAATATTAGTTAATTTTGATTTGTCGTTAATTAGAAAATGGCTCGTGTTTTGGTTGGTGTAAAGCGTGTGATCGACTATGCCGTTAAGGTAAGTGTATGGAAGAATCGTTTGTTTCTTCCTCTTATCACTTGTTGCGCTTCGTTTTGCGTAATCGTTTTTATTACACTTAATTAATGTCTCTCGATTGGAATTTAGGTGCGCGTTAAGCCCGAAAAAAATGGCGTTGTTACCCAAGGTGTTAAGCACTCAATGAATCCCTTCGACGAGATTGCCGTCGAGGAGGCCGTCAAGCTCAAGGAGAAGAAGCTGGCCGGTGAGATCATTGCCGTGTCTGTGGGTCCAGCCCAATCGCAGGAGGTCATACGCACCGCCTTGGCTATGGGCGCAGATCGCGGTGTTCACGTTGAGGTGTCAGCAGCCGAGTACGATCTGTTGCAGCCAGTGCATGTGTCCAAAATACTTGCCAAGCTGGCGCTGGACGAGAAGGCGGATCTGGTCATACTGGGCAAGCAGGCTATTGATGACGATGCCAACCAGACGGCTCAGATGACTGCCGCGGTGCTGGACTGGCCTCAGGGCACATTCTGCAACAAAGTTGAGAAGACGGATGCGGGTCTGACGATTGTTCGTGAAATCGACGGCGGCCTGGAGACCATCAAGACCAAAATACCAGCCGTCCTCAGCGCTGATTTGCGCTTAAATACGCCGCGTTATGCCACGTTACCTAACATCATGAAAGCCAAGAAGAAGCCACTGAAGAAGGTGACACCCAAAGATTTGGGTGTTGATACCTCGCCACGCATTGAGATTATCTCCGTGGAGGATCCGCCAGTGCGTCAAGCGGGCGCTGCTGTTGCCGACGTAGATGCTCTGGTGGCCAAGCTAAAGGCTGGTGGCCACATCTAAGTCAACATCCAATCAAAATTGTGAGCAAAATTCTACGTTCTATTTTTTGTACTACTTTCTATCAGAAACGTGCATTTATCTAGCCACTAAAGATTGATTCCCCATGTGCGCGCCGAGTGTCCCATAGTGCTTTAAGTGAAAATTAAATGTCTGTTTTTGGAATCTGTCGTGTCAAGCCTTAACGAATAAATTGAAGTGAAGCAACTACAAAACATGCCACGAGGTCAGCCACTGGCCGTTTTTTGTCACACATCCGTCTATTCCTTTTCAGCGGACGTGGCTCAACTTGACGCACCAAATCAGCACCCATTTAATTCGCTTCGTTCTTTTCTTGCGGTTGCGCACGTTCTTATATGGCATGATCGAGTCACAGGCGAAGGTCAAATGATTTGTATTTAGCTCTATATATTTTATTTCCAAATCGAACTAATTTTTTTTTTTTTTTGCTTAAATTATATTGAGTAAATACATAAATATGTACGTATATAATATGTATAAAAAGATAAAATTCATTATTTTTGCTTATAAAAGATATAGAAAGCTGATATAAAATTGTAAAATATGGACAATGGACACTTAATAGACAAAGATAAAGACATGGCAGGAGCTGGCAATTTCATAGGAAATTACTCTAATAGTACTATCTTTAGATAATTTCAATATTTAGAGTTTGGATAATTAAGTTATTTGTGATTCATTTGTTTCTTCAACAGCTTGAGCGTCTCATATATAACATTTTATATCACACTGCCCGCAGCTGCACGAACACCATCAGAGGAGTTAATCAGCTCTAGCAACCAATTAGAATGAATCGTTAATTAATTACGTCCAGCCGGAGCTTTTTCCTTATCGCTGAATAGCAATATGCGTGTCAGCATTGTGGTAATACAGGGTATTTGCTTCTGCTGATGCATATCTGGTGTGTCCGGTGTGCAGGACTCGAAATCAACAGCGACACGCTGACAGACGAACGTAAGCAGGGTGAGAATGTCCAGACGTTTGCCGTTGGCGGCCAGCTCAGCGCACAGACTTTGCATGAACCAGCTGCCGCGCGTGGTGTTACGCCATGAGTAAAAGCCTGGTATGGTGGAGTAGGCAATCAGAAAGTCGGCGTGGATGGGTATCTTGTAGCTCATTGAGGAGTCGCCGTCGGTTTCGGTGCGACCGCGTTGCATTGTGACACCCGTGTCCAAGCGGTCGCCCTGGCAGGCCTGTATAAAGAACAGCTTGGGTTTGCCAGCCAGCGTGGGACAGTGATTGGCCGTGAAGTGGCTCCAGATATTGTCCAGCTTGTACTGAGTATCCTTTGCATAAATGTAGCCCATTTCGCCGTGTGAGAGTATGGCCACGAGTATGCAATCGTTGTGCTCGTGATTCTGCGATGACACATACTTAATTGTGCTCAAAATCTCCGGGTATCGACAGTCCTTGTACACAGAGACATCAAAGTCCAGCTGTTTGAGCACACGTGACAGATTCTCACAGTCCACATTCGTACCAGCACGGGATTTTAGTGTGGGCACCTCGAAATGTTCATGATTAAATATGATTGCCATGCCGCGATTCTTGTGCCGCATGTTGTACTCGGCAGCATGTCGATCGGTAACCATTTTGGCCACATATTTGTGATAGCTGGACGAACTGTACCCGTTTGAGGCCAGCTGCCCAATGGCGCCGCTGCCATAACTGTTTTGTTTGTGAATTGCGGAGGTCGATGCGCCGCCGCTGCTGCTGCTGCTGTTGCCCACAGAGCCAAAGGCATCGGTAATATCGTCGGTGTTGGTGGCGACCTCGACTCGTATGCCTACCTGGTCGGTGGACTCGATTTCGTTGTTGCTATTGTTGTTGGCGGCCATTGTGAATATTGGCTGTGAATTTTTTGATGAGTCACACGGCTGGTTTTATGTCCAGGCAAGCAGTAAATATCAAACACTTTTCACAAATAGTCCCTTAGGTCAAAAATGTTTTAAATTGCACGTTGCGGGCACTTGTTGTTGTAACAAAGGAATGCGACGCGAAACTGCACCGCACTTCAGTTGCAGTTTTCTAGTTTGTTACTCTCTTTGTTTGTTTTATGTTATGCATTTTGCGCACAACAGCTCAACAGTTCGCTGGACTGTTAATAACAGTGTGCAGTATTTTTTTTTATCAAAAGCAACCGTTAATGGTTTTGAAAAAAGAATAAATACAATTTTTACTTGAAAATATAATAGAGTAAAAAATTGTAGATTAAGTGTATATTGGTAATTCTTAGTATTCCCGAAAGGCTATATCCAATTAAAGTTTTAATTTAACAGCACTAGCTGTTAAGCTGATGAGCAAGCAAAAGAATCCCGCACACTGTAAACTGATATAAAACACATAAGTACCTACCAACAGTGTGGTGAAAAACAGTTGCAGCCGCTCGGGGTGAAATTTGCATACTATGTAAACTAACCAATCAATATCAATGATCTTCATCAAATAATTGCAATCATCTTCAACTGTAACTGTAATATATTTTTCAAAATGATTTTATCAAATATATAAACAATTCATATACAGAAGCACATGGCTCTAATCGTAATCAAATGTCAAGCCGCTTCCGCGCAAATGTTGCTCGGACCATGAATCAAATCTCTCGGACATTTCATCGGTCATGTGATTTCGCCAGTCGCCAATTTTGCCTTTGCGTATGAATTTCGTCTCCCTCTGAGGAAGTTCACGCTCCAGATTGATGGCTTTATTGTTTTGCATGCTGTCGAACTTCAAATGGTCGCAAATGCGCGCCATGTTGGCTTCGTTGAGAATATTTGAAACATCCAGGAATTGGGCACAGCGTCTTACCACCGCGGGCAAATCGCGAATCATGTCCTCGTATTTAATAAATAGGACATTATCATCAACGCTGCGCTTCCAGAAGGGCAGCACATGCTTCCAGTACGAGCCCATGGGCGTATGGCCGCCCAGAAAGAGCTCCACGAATTGCTCAAAATCACCATTGATTCCATGGAGCAGCTTGCAATAGTGATAGTAGGAGACACACAGATCCTTGGGATTGCGCGCGGTGTACACAATTTTTGGCTTGACCGTCTCAAATTGCTCTGGCAGCAGCTGCCAGGACAGATGCGAACGTGCATACCGAGGACGTGGCAGATTGCGCACCAGCTCAACTGTGTTGCCAAAAGCATCCCTGTGAAATGTTCAGGCTCAGTAGAGTTACCTTGCGCAAAAGAAAAACCAAAGTCTATACGTACGCTACCCACTGATGATGGTCTATGCTGAATAGTGCGGATAGCTCAATCAAGGGTGCACGCATTCGCACATCCTGCTTCGCGGCCTCAAAGTCCAGCTGATGGCCTAGCAGCCAGACCATCTCTAGGGCCCACGTCGAACCGGTACGTGGATACGACACCATCCACACATCATCTTCATAGACGGGCAAATTGCTTATCGATTCACCGAGCTCTACATATTTGCGTGGTATGATCAGTTGATCGGGCAGCACCTCGACAAAGCAATCCTGCGCCGGAAATATGGCATTTGTGCGACGCACAATATCCGCATCCAGTTCCCGATAAACAAGCTGCATGGCATATGGCGTTCCTGCTACCGTTGGCCTGCAATACCTGCAGTCGACTGACTCCAGCTCCAAGTGTGAAAGGAAAGTGAGCCCAAAAGTGCGGTGAAAGTGACGGCAACGCGAATCCAGCTAAGTTGCCCGCAATTTTAACTTGTTTGCGCCAAACCGGCTCAGTGCAATCGCATTTGCAAAGTGCATCAGCTTAGCCTGGCACATTTAGCCCTGCCCAAACCCATCCTCCGCGAAACCCAACAGGCCAACACTTATATTCACATGTACTTCTCGATCAGTTGGCACGCATTGTTCTAATGTGAGACTTATTTTTACTACCATTAGATAAACAAATAGTTGACTTCCCCAGCCTATATGAAACTAATTTATTTAAAATCAAATTATACAACCAGAAACTTGGTTTTGCATTTGCGAACTTAAAATTGAAGGTTCGCAATTTGTAATTTGTATTTTAAAGATTTAAACGAGAAAGAACGGCACGCCGAAGATCTAATACCCTTGCATACCCAACCTATTCATAATGCGTATAGTGCTTTGCCCGCATCTAAGAACCACAGGGAAACTAGTAAATGCCGAGCTTGGTCTAGATATCTGGAATAAAACAAAGTTTTAATCAAAAACCTAGTTTTGGACCGATCGTTCCTTTGGCAGAAATATAATATAGTAGGCCGTTCTTAATAAGATTTTTTTAAAAATGAAGGGAGCATAGTGAAAACTTTAAATGCCGTGTTTAATCAAACTATCTTGAAAGACAAAAAAGTTTTCCATACAACTTAATTTTCGAGGAATCGTTCCTATGGCAGCTATATGATATAGTGGTCCGATCCAGCTGGTTTTGACATATGTGCTTCGTCCAACAGAAACAGAAACTTTTGCAACGTTTCATTAAGATAGCTTTACAAGTGAGGGACTAGTTGGGACAGAAACAGACATGTCTATATCGACTCGGCTGTTGATGCTGACCAAGAGTATATATACTTTATGGGGTCGGAGTTGTCTCCTACTATGCGTTACATATTTCACGACAAAATTATAATATAATAATTTGTAGTTTTCACTGTAGAAAACAGTCTGTGTACAAATTATAGTTTTCGTATAAGCAATAATGTTCGGAAAAGGAAACAAAAGTTTTGGATGGGCTAAGGACAATAAATATTATATGTTCATACAGCTAGTTGGCATCGGGAAACCTAACCATAAACGCAAAAAATATTGCTGTATAAAAATATAAACGAGTATATATATCAAATATATATATATAAGCACACATCTTCTAAGATGGATAGGCAATAACCAAGTACTTTTGGATATTGGGTTGAATTGTTAAAGTGTTTCTCTAAACAGAGTTAAGATAATATTATTATATTGTTTCCCTTAAAGATGACTTAATCTAAAAATGTACCAATTAAATTAAAATTTATTGCAGTTCGTAATACTATATACACTTGAAATCTTTTTTTTTCTTTTTTTTTTTTTTGTCAGTTACAACTAAATCATTCTAATGAGCACTCGTTAAAAGTTATGTTGTTAGTTGGAGCAACTACAACTACAACTCGTTGTGCACATATTCCGTGGTCACCTTGGCCTCGCCCTCATGGAAGCCATTGCAGTCGACTGGATATTTCACCTGTGTAAAGATTGGTTTTGTATTTGCGATAAAGCAACAGCATCACATTAGAATGAGTAAAAATGCGGCTATGACGGATGTGGACTCACCTCACAATTATATGGCGCATTGATTACCCCAAATAGCGTCCAGAATGGTGTACCGGTTTCTGTGCTAATGAAGATCGCGGCACCCATGCTGCCGATCTTGACAATTTTCGGACTAACACCGGCAATGAGACCGCCCGGCGATGAGGCAGTCGCTTGTTTCTTGGACTGTTGCTGCTGCTGCTGCTGTTGTTGCTCCAAAGCAGCTGCATTTAGCTGGCAGAGCACATAGCGATCGCATTGCGGCGACTTCGAGATGTATCTGTAGGCGCGATGGACTTTAAGCACCGGTTCGATAACCTGTTAGATGTTTGTTGTTTGTGGGTTGGCCATGTGGAGTATGGAGTATGGGTTGGGTTGATGCGTGCGCCGTGGAACAAAAGAGAAAATTGTAGCGTAATTAATTTAATTTCTGCTATTTGCTGGTTTAGTTTTTTTTTTTTTTTTTTTCGTTTTAGAGAATCTTTCATTGCGGCGCTTTAATTGGTTAGCAATTCAATTGGCCGCAACATGCTTACCTCCAGATTCAGTGTATCCGTTAATCTATCACTGATCTCGGTAGCATTGAACTGCAGCAGGCCACGTGCTTGGCCCAGTTTCAGCAGCTCCTTGGCATAGCCCACTGCGGGTTTCACGTACTGGCGCGCATCGATTTTCACATTCAAATGATGTTTGGCAACGTGGTTCAATAGGTTTGAAATTGTCTCGCTGGGACGTGCCGGATCGAAATAGGTTTGCTTGGGATAACCTTGAGATTTTAACAGACCGTTGAACATAATTTGCGCCGTCTGGAAATATCTGTGGAAAGTGCCAAAGAAAAACAAAATTGATGAGCGTTGCCTTTAATGACGCAGCATTGTCAGAGTGAAAGGGCAGCTAGAAAGTGGAAGTTATTTCTGTTGTCGTTGTCTAATAATGATTGGCGCGGCGCAGCTTATGCCAAAAGTGTCTCCATATACCTACATACATACATACATACATACATATATGTATTTGTGTTTATATAGCGCGACCCAAATAGCCAAGGCACTCGGCTTATGTACTTTGCCTTTGGCCCACTTCCTGATCAAACCGGTTTCCCCTACACACACACATATACAAAATAAACTGTTCTGGCTTTGGTTTTGTTTGTGTATTTTAATGATGCGCCATCGTCTTTGTAACTGTAACACACACACACACGCAAACACGCAAGCGCACACCCAAAGCCAAGCTAAATCCAAAACTCGAACTCAAACCCAGGAATTGGAGTTGGACTTGTACTGTTCTTTTTTGTTGTTTGTTTTGTTGTTTTTTTTTTCAATTTTGTGTTGACCAGTAAGATTAACAGTCGTGTTCTAAAAGCCGTCAGCATTAAAAGTGTGTCAAAAGGTAAGCAAGAGAGCTTCAAACATGTTCGATGCCAAACAGGTAGCAGTTAACGGTAACTCGTCCGACAGCAACAGCAACAGCAACAACAACGACAACATCAACAACAACACGAACAACGCTAACTGGCAGCTGTTTGAGCCAGTTGCGCTGCCTCCATGTACACGCGCATTCGTATTGCATTAAACGTAACGCTCAGAATTCGAATCGTATCACAGCAGGGTGCTAAACGGCTTAAAACCGTTGAGAAAGCAGAACGTGTTCCACAATTAACACGCATCGTTCACCCTCACGATTAATGCTTTAAATTATATGCACCTGACTCACCTGAGATAGTTTTCAGGATTGGCCAAATAACTGGCCCAGTCAGCCAAATACAATGTGGCCGATTTGATCCAGCGACGACGGAATGATTGATTGTTCAGAGACTCGAACAATTTGTCATAATCCAACTTGCCATCACGGCCCTTGAAGCCCTACATAAATAAATGTTATTGTTATGAGACCAAAATTTTTAAACATTATATTAATCGAATTTCTCAGTCAAATCTCGTGATATACCTTCATGATCTTGTTGACGCCCGACTTTTCGTATAGCGCATCGGCGAGCTCCGAGTTGGAGAAGTGATCCCACAGCACGTGCACATGCTCCAGGAATGGTGGCAGCACCCAGGCATGACTCTTATGGCGTTCCTGTGTGCTCTGGCCCTCGGGACCAGCAAAGGAGCTAACTGCCTGCATAACCAGCGGCAACAAGTTCATGATACCATTTTCCGACTCTGGCTCTTCGGATGCGGATCTCTTCTGTTGATGATGGGTATGTGTAGCTGGCTTCTCGGCACCGCCCTGTGTGTTCATAAAAGCGGAGGCCACTTGCAGAATGGTGTCCAGGCCAATGCCAGAGCCGCCATCAGAGCTGCCGCCGCTGTTGCTGCGCCTTTGAGCGGCGCCAGAATCCTCGTCATCGTTTTGTGTGAACATTTCCAGGACATTTCCAATGATGGACGGATCAAACCCACCGCCGCCACCACCTCCATTGCCGCCACGTGCATTGTTGGCCAGCAGACTGCCCAGACCTGATAAGATTTGCATGGCGCCACCGCCGCCACCGCCACCGGCTTTTCCATTGGCTTGCATGAAGCTGCCGATCATGGAGGCGACACCTGCCAGTCCGGCGCCCGCACCGCCCCCGCCAGCAGCAGCACCGCCACCGCCACCGTTCTGATTTGACAATGCCTCCTGTATGAACATGGAGGCCATGTCCAGGAATGGATTGGATTCATCCTCACTGGCCATGTGGCCATAGGGCTGTGCGCTGAGCAGCGCCAGCACAAATAGAGCTCGCTTCATGTACATTTTTGGGCAGGAACTTTCACAATCACACACTTGAGATACTTTTTTTTTTCTTTTTAGCTATTTTTTTCTATTTTGCTGTTGGGCCAATTAAACAACGCCGCCGACGACGACGACAACAACAACAATAATAACAACAACAGCGCGACCGACGCTTCACTGCGCAAATGGCTTGAAAATTGCAAGCCAAAGACGAAAATCTGTTGTTATTCCACGAGACTGGGAAGTACTTATTTACATGTACATATACTATATAAGTAATATGTACTCTGATGCCTGCAACGCAGCAAACACAGCCAGCTCAGGCGAAAACTTTCTTTCTTCTGTGACTGCGAGTCTGTTTGTAACACTTCTTAAGTCGCCCGTCTGGGCCCGGCCAACATGTTGCATCTGGCGCTGCTTGTGAGCTTGTGTGAAGACTCTCGCAAGCTCAGCTGTGTTCGCTTCTAGCGCTCGCTGAACATTTCTCCTGCACTTGGTCTTTCTCTCGCTCTCTCTCAGTCTCTTGTTCTCTCCGTCTGTTGTCATTCTTCACGCCTGCGCCGCCTTGCGAGTTGTCCACGTCAGTTTGCTGCCAGCATACAAATTCGTTTGTGTACGTGTGTGCGTGTGCACATTTTTGAATGCTTTTGCGCTGTTCTATGGCGCTGTGCTGGACTTAACTTTGTTTATATTTTCTACCCACTTTCTTTTTACACACACACACACTCGTTCTGTCGCTTTGAAGTCGTTCTTCTTGCCATGACTTCAGCTTTATCTCATTTTTTTGGTTCTTTTTGCAAGCTTTAATCTACGTCCATATGCATACATACATACATACTGAAAGAGTATTTATGTACGTATTTATGTACAATGTTCGTAACATGAGAATAAAAGACATTTTTTTGGTTGCTATTAAATTTTCTTTGGGCTGTTTAATTTAATCTAACCTTCATAAAAAAAAAAGTTGTGTAAAGTTAATTTAATTCTGTGTTGTAGTGTATTAGATCGTGTCCGTAGGATTTTTTCTTTAAAAATCTTGCAACTATAATTTTTCAATGCAAATGTATAACTCAAACGAATGGATGTCATATTGTATTTCGACTGTAATTCTCTCTGGCTTCTTTCGATGTGTGTCATGGCCCATTTTCGGTTAAATTCGATAAGAATAGATTATTTTGTGCGCCAATTACATAAATTTATGAAATGTTCATTTCGCGCCGTCGAAAGTCCAATGAACATGTTGGTCCAAACAGAAAAGATGGAGTTAAAAGTTTACTAAAACGACTTGGTGTACGGAGCTTCTTAAGTTTACCGTAGATCCAACCAATCGTACTCTTAAATCAATAATATTTAATGGCATTTTTGAATAAAAAAGTGATTAGTGTTCTACTCACTTCGATGCCGTCGCCTGCCAATGAGGAGCAGCCGTGTATCTCCCAAACACGACCCTCCAAACGGTTCAATCCCAACAGCTCGGATATCATGGAACTTGGCAAAGCACCAACCGCGTCCTGTTTGTTGGCCAAAAGCAGCAGCGGAACCTGTGCCATCCGCTCGTCCAGCAGAACATCACAGAGCTCGCAACGTGCTTCACTCAAACGCGACGCGTCCGTGCTATCGACAACAAAGATCTACGGATCAATTGGTTAGCCGAGAAAGTGTTTTAAAGATTAAGGTATGTATGGGCAATACCAATATGTTGGCTTCCTGATAAAATGTATGCCACGATTGACGCATCCTCCATTGACCACTCAAGTCACGCAAGCATACCTTTATCCTTTTAAATTTTAAATGTCGCTCGGTTAGGTCGACCGTAGGAGAAATGCGCTTTAACTTATTGGAATATACATGTATATAAATATGTGACTAATGTCTAATAAGGTTGTTGGTCCGCTTACGGCGTCCCCGGTTTCCAAGCTAAGGCGGGCCGCCAAAGTACTCTTGCCTGCATTGTTCAGGCCCAGAATAAGCACATTAAACTCCTCCGAGGGCGTCCCCTTTAGTTTGCCCAGGAACGAAGTGACACCCTTGTAAATATAGGACATTTATTGCTATTGTTTTTGTTGATGTTATTAAAAAGTGTGAGCTATACACAAGCTACTACTTAGATTTGGATAATGGCTAAGAATTGTAGGGATATGTCATTTTCGATCTGGTATGCTTATGCTAGTTTCAACACACAAACAAATAAATTCAAGAATATTTTGATAACATTATGGTCTCTATAATTATATAAGGGGCACTTCCTTTAACACTTTTCAAGTAAGTAGTGTAGGTTGAATAGCTTTAATCTTACAGTAGCACAAATTAATGAACTCTAAACTACTTTTTCATATTTTTGCACACCCAGTCCATGCCCTCTTTGATGCCAGTGCCATCTACAGCTGTGCAGGCCTTAATTTCCCAAGTGCGCTCCTCTAGACGCACTAGACCCAGAGCCTCGGCCACTTCGGAGGCGCTCATGGCACTGGGCAAGTCCTGCTTGTTGGCAAACACCAGCAGCGGTACTCTCTTTAAACGATTGTCCATAAGCATCTCAAAGAGTTCACTGCCCGCTTCTGATAGGCGTTTCCGATCCGTGCAGTCTATAACGTAGATCTGTCATGGTAGCAAATGATGAATGCTTGAATCCTATCAACACTTTGTAAGAAATTACCAAAACATCGGTATTGGCAAAGTAGTTCTTCCAATATGGCCTTATTTTCCATTGACCGCCAATATCCCATACATTCAATTTGAACCCATCTGCTGCTACGGATTTGATGTTAAAGCCCGCGGTGGGCGTCACCTGCGAAGCATTGGAACGACTATTAGGAAAGCAAAGACGCATCTGTTCCAAAATACTCACCGTTGTTATATCCTCGGAAGCCAGTTGTTTGAGAATCGTTGTCTTGCCGGCATTGTCCAAACCGAGCAGCAAAATACGTGCCTCCTTTTCCGGATTGGGGCGCAGTTTGCGCAACAGCGAAAGTAGACCCTAAAAACAAAATAAAAACATTTGAAAGCGCAATTCATTTTCGCGCAGAATGTAAATCGATATTATGGCGAGTGCTATCGAGCTTTCGGCTGGTCACACTTTACGAACAGCTGTTGCACGAGTATAAAGTATCGATACTATCACGCCAAAAAGTTACCATGACAACCGAGTTAAATAAACAAATATATATTATTGGATAATAAGAGCAATTTAGAAAAGAAAAAAATACTATAATTAAGTGCTACCGCGTGACTGATAATCTGGGTATTCAGCAAACAACCTACCATTTGGTAAAACAATTACAATAACTTATTTGAAGTGCGATCACTTAAAAAGCACCAACTGTAGCAATTGTATTTAAGCACAATTCAAACAACTAAATTGAAAACCACCACCAGCGACAACATTACAGGTGCAATGCTAGCTAGCAACTAAACATCGGTCGACCAAACAATAGAGCAACAGCCGCAGGTAGCGGCGCCCAGCCCCTATTACAGTGCGCGTCGCTGCGCAAACGCTGTCGGCGAAGCGGAAGATGCGACAGTTACTATTTACGGGGTTCAATGCATTTGGGCAGCACAATGGAAGCAACACTGACCGCATTTCCGGTCGCGTCACTGCCTTAACCGGTTCGTAGCTGCTACCAAATAACATTCTCACAGTTTATACTGAAATCCTTAAATTTTTAGAAATTAGCGTACCCGGGCATGACGCGGGTAACGCTATAATTGCGTTGAGCTGGCGTTATACCGCATATGCTGTGGGCACTAAGCTATGGCTGCGCGGACTCTTCAACTTGGTGCCTGGGGAATGCCTGGAAGTGGAGGCACCTGCGAGTATAAAAGCGTTAGCCGCTTGCGATTCACATTGCCTGGTGCTGCTGCAGAATGGCGAGCTGTACAAGCTGCCAGCCAAGATGAATGCAACATTGCAACACATCAAATTGGAAACAACCCCCACAACAAGTGCAGCCACAAAGCGAACTATTTTTGGTACACCTAAGCTAGCTAGGGACGCCTCACACGACATCACTCACATAGCCTGTGGCACGCATATTAATGTGGCCATAAGCGCTAACAACGCCGTGTACAGCATACCCAGCTGCTTGCATCAGTTCCCGCAACGTCAATGGCGGGTCCAACAGTTGGAGTGCGGACACGAGCATGCCCTGTTGCTGAACGGCAATGGCGATGTCTACAGCTGGGGCAATGGACTGTAGGTTTAGTGAGTCGTTTATTTGAACAAAATTTTGTGACTTTTTATGCAAATATTTCACAGTCGTGGACAACTAGGCCACGAAACACTAGCTGTAGTGGAGACGCCACTGTTGCTGGAGGCGCTGGCGGGCATTAAGGTAAGCAAATTTCATTATCTAGCTTGTCAAGTAATTCATCCATCCACACACATTGTAGATAACACACATTGCCGCTGGTGGCTGGCATAGCGTAGCCATCTCTGCATTTGGGGATCTCTATACGTGGGGCTTGAATTGCAAAGGTCAACTGGGTGTGCGCGTTATGAAACCCGATGGTTTGCTAAAAGAGCCCACGGTTTATCCATTGCCTCAGCTGCATGATTTGCCAGACTGTTGCGGGGTAGAGAATGATGCCTGTGCGCCTCTAAAAGTATTTGCAGGTTCACGTCACACATTGCTCCTGCGCAGCTGTGGCAGACTCTGGGCTAGTGGCTGGTGTGCCCACGGCCAGCTGGGCACGCAGCCCACTAAATTGGAATACTTGGACATATTTCAAGCTGTACGAGATACGCCTAAGGGTAATAATTATACTGTGTTTTGTGGTCCGTGGTCCAGCTTGATTGCCTTGTGTGAGTAAATATGTTTTATATTCTTTATTTATAAACTATTTACATTTTAGTAGAACTATTTTAAATTTTTTTTGTAAACGGCCTCGTTTCTTTTTTATGTTTCGAAATTGTAACGGCTTTACGTTAACAGCTCTTAAGGCTGACTGCTATGGTACTTAAATTGCGCCATGGTACTAACTGCTATGTTACTCACATACCATATAAAGTATTATCATGGTGTCTTTGCTAAAGCTTTAGCCAAGATTCACACCAGGTAGATGCAGTTGATTTCGATTTTTGCAAAATTTTAGTGAATAAAAAGTTATTGTTATTATTAACAAAATATGTTGTTAGCTCAGCCTCGGCCTTTAACATAGCCTTCTTTCTCAGTTGCGTTGTAAACACACTAGCATTGTAAATTAATCACTTAGAATTCGTTTTGTTTCGGCTTCACTTTTCAAAGCAGTATTTTTCACAGCTTCACGTCAAGCATTTCCAAAATTTTTATTTTACTACCCAAAATACCCAAAACACTCAAAACCCAAAAAATAAACATAAAACCTTTCATGCTGGTGACCTGCAGCTAAACATGGCGTAAGTGATTCTCCATACCGTCTGTCGCATTCGATATCCATACCAATCTGCCAACAGTCCCAGCATATTCTTTGTTCTCTTCTGGCGGATTGGGGTCCATCTTCTTTATCCCTATAGATATACGAATCGCTCGATTCAGGATGCGCTTGGTGATGACTATATACTGTGGGTCTCCAGCGATCGATTGCAAAACGAACAATTGATCATGATGCTGCTGCGTCAGTCGATCGAAAATTTTCTGATATTCATATTGATTATGGAAATTATGCGCTCGATTCACGAAGGACGCGAACTGCCCTTTTTGTTACAATGAGGGATCCGTGTGTGCAAAAGCAGGATTTGTTCATACTATAATATATACATCAATTTTTTTTTTTGTATATTTTTGACAACTTTTTGCCTGTCTATCAAAAGTAAACACGCCTCGAGTGTGGGGCACACAGCATTTTTTGTCTTGGGATAGGTCCGAGGCCGATGTCCCATTGCCGGCGCTGTTGTCGTTGTCGTTGCAGTCGCGCGTGTAATCAGTAAATTTTATTTTTAAAAATGTTATTAAACAATATTTGCTTTAGCAAAAGTCAGACACGCAGTGCAATAAACTTTTCAGCACTTGTAGATCGTCCGACGCGACGCGACTCGACGACTGACGACTCGTCACTTTGGTGGGACTCTCATTGTTTGAATTGTGTGTGTGTGTGTGTGTGCGTGTGTGTACGTGTGTGTGTGCATAGGGTGGGAAGTGGGCGGTTTGGGGGTATTTCTTGGAACGGTGTGATAATTTTGTTATTGGAATTGCATGGCTTTTTGATTGGGTATTACAAATGAATATACATATAGAATAAATATAATAACCGAAGTTTCTTTCGGTTTATATATTGATAAATTATAGGGTAGGTCCATAAAAAAATTAAATTCCTAGTTTTTATTTAGTAAAACAAAGAACCCACATATTTTTATAAATATTAAGTTGGTCAAAGTCAAGCCTTGAGACAAACTACCCCAAACTTGCCTAGATATTTCTCTTAAGCCCACGCTTCGGGTTTTGGTTTGAGCAATTTTGGCTTAAAGTTCAAACTTGACTTGAGCAATTGGGTTCGGTCCATGCTGAATTCTAATTTAGAATTTCGTTGTCAACTTTTAAGTTTTTAATATCTGCCATAGTTAAGCCCATTTTGTCTTTTATTTCATTTGAATGTAGCGCTTCGGTTGTTCATTATAGCCCATACTTTACTATCTGTATGCCTATCTCTTTGCGGTGTTCCACCGAGTTCAACGTTTTTATGTTATTTGCCAAATGAAAAAGTAAAAACAAATGTTTATCTTATAACGCACTGTGCGATTCGCTGTGTTGCAGTACAGTTCTAGCGGTCGGACAGAGTGCGGTGCGCAAATAGGCTTTGCTTTTGGGCTTTACTTTTTTATGAGCGCCATTTTTGAGCAAACTTTGTTATCGACAAAAAAAAAAATAGAAACGAAAAATTAAATAAAAGCCTGGCAGTGTCATTTTTAGGCCGCTAAACTATTTGCTACCAGCAATTGACGACAGACAACATGCCAAAGAGGGCGGGTTACGGTTGAAGACAAAGAGGGAGGGGGGTGGGGCTGTTGGCGTGGCCAGTTCAAGCGCCTGGCTCAAGGCGAAATACGGTTGAGTTTCCGTTTCTGGAGCTTATCAGAGCCACTCGAAGTATCCGAGAAGCCAAGTGCAGAATGTGCTAATTGTGGCACTCTCTCTGTTTATCTGTGTGTGTGTGTGTGTGCGAGTGTGCGAGTGTTTGTGTGTGTGTGTGTAGGTGCATGTGGATTTCGTTACTCGAAAATTGTAATTCATGCGTGCCAGCAGACGCCAAAGTTTCAACAGAAATCAGTCAATCATAACCAAAAAAAAAAAAAAAACAACAACAAAGAAGAGTAGCTAGTTTGACATGCCGAACTTGAAATACCCTAACAAGCTATTTGGCGAAAACTGTGCAGCTTGTAATTACAGAGTTTGGGGCAGATAGTAATACACCTGTTTTCTTTCTGTTTTTAGAGCTGAATAACTACGCTTGTGTCTTTTTTACACCGTTTTTTCTGGAACCAAATAGAATTAGGTGTATATCCAATTAAAAGTTGTTGGCTTTATAGGTTCCATATAGCACGATACATTTAAAATGCTCTCTGTTAGGGCATACAAAGCGCAGCAGCAGAAGACGCGGCCAGTTTGTTTGCTGCGCCCGTGTGCTGCAAGGCTGCAAGTGCGTGCTGTGCCGCATGCAACGCTGCACACAGCGCCCCGCCCACCGCACGCCGAGCTCCTCCGCCCCATCTCCTGGGCAGTTCACAAGCACAGGCTACTCCTTGGCCATGGCTCTGGCCGCGTATTTGCAGTTTGCATTGTTTGTTCGCGCTAAGTGGGAGGTTTCAACACATTTGGGCTTAGGCCCCACCTGACCTAGCTTGGCGCTCGGCCTATTTGCTTTTTGGCGTACATTGACCAGCAATGGAAGCCCCCTACCGCCGCCTAATCATCGCTTTGAATTTGCGCTAATGACTGTGCCCACTTGCCTTAGCTTGCAAACTCACATTGAGTGGCAGGAGAAACGTGTTCATAAAACGTTTTGGCATCCCAAATGTATGAAAGAGTCATTTCTTGTCCCCCTTATGTGCCATAAAAATTATGCATGAATGTATTTGCCACATTCTACATACTCGCACAAGTGCTCCCATTCATATTGCTGCCCAAATAAAAACGTTGCCCTCGACTGGCCCAAAAAAAAAAAAAAAAAAAAAAAAAAATATGGGAAAAGAGAAGACGAATGCAGCGTCGCATTTTTACGGCTCCATTCATGTGACGACGGAAGTGTCAAGTGGCTGTTGGCAACTCGTCCTCGACAACCAACTCTCATCCTGCGCGTCCTTTTCGTCAACGTCGCCGTCGTCCTCGTTGCCGTTGCCGTTACCGTCGCTTCCTCGCTGCTCTGCATCGAAAATGCCGTTATTGTTACCAGTTGTCTACAAAGTCCCCCCGCCGTTTGCATGCACACACACCTCGCTCTCCCACACACATACACATGTGTCTACGTGTGCCAAGTTGCATTCTGGTCTGCGCCTGGCGCTGGGTCGCCTCTGCGTTGGCGTCTGCCGTTGAGTGGCAAACTTTTTTACGTATGCTATCGTATCGTACGTCTAAGTATGTGTTTTTCATTTTTTTGTTGGGTGTATTTTTTTTTTTTTACATGCCCTGCACCATTTTTGTATGCCCTTCATTTGGGTAGCTTTGTTCTTTTTTGGTACAGTTGTGTCTGTGGGGTTAAGTGACTGTAAATGCACGAATAAGCAGTGAAAATTTGCTTACACGAAATATATGTGTATTCACTCTTGGCTGCAAAATTGATTTATTTTTTATCCTGACTGACTGACTGACTGATTAAACGGTGATCAACGATATGCAATGGGAATTATATATGTTCAACCGTGGTGCGATAGGATTTTATATTATATTCTGACTGGCAGCCTGATTGATTGACTGATTGAACGATAATCGACGTATGCAACGAGCATTTGCTGACCAACAGGCTGATTGACTGACTGACTGACTGACGGAGCGTCGATCCGTTGATCTATTGGTTTAGGCAGTGAAATGCACCCTTTTGGTGTCAAAGGAATTTATTTATTATACTGATTGACTGCCTGATTGACTGATTGAACTGTGGTCAACGATAAGCAATCGACATTTGTTTACATGAACTATATATATTCACTCACGATGCGAGAGGGACTTATATTTTATCCTGGCTGACTAACTGGTTGACTGATTGACTAATTGAACGGCGAGCAACGTAAATCAATAGAAATTTGCTTACATATTATTTATATATATGCTATTTGTTCGAGCTGAAGTTATTTAGTTTTATCCTGACTGATTGTGTTATGTGATGCAGGTTTTACTTCCGATCGGCCTCAAACTAATGTTCAAAGATCTTTGTGTTAATTTATTTGAAATATGTTTCACAGTTTTCGGAAATTTCATCCCTTTGGGCTAAAAAATGCGGGCCAAAGGTTGAATTAACGACCACCACGGCGCTGAAATGGGTGGGAACTGTTGATTCCGACTATTGTTTCTTGTTCGATTGACTTTAAACTCATTTTGTACTATCTTTGTACAATTTGAAGCTTGGAGCGGGTGAGGCTGCTTTCTTTGAACTATAACAAAAGGTAACCTAATAGTAGAAAGCATTGGAGAACAAATGAATGATGGACATGATACAATAACTGTAACTAAAATAAACATACTTAAATAAACTAAATTAAGTTGTTAAAACTGAAAAAACTTGTATCCGAAGTTCTTTTAAGCGCTTCTGATTATGTTGGATCAAGTGCAAGGCTCCATTGCAATGCAAATCGCTTGAAACTCCATTCATCCTATTCAATTGGGGCTCTCCGGTTAAAATTCCATGACAACTGTGCAATTTGTGTTGACGACTTGATTGTCCTGGCCCAAACGGCCCCATAGAGCGACACCTAATTGAAGTTAGTCACTTATATAACCAACAACAACAAGAGCAGCAACAATGATGGAGCCAAGATTACATGATTACGCGGCGACAGCGGCCGGGCCATGGCACACGATGCCCGTCGTCCCACGCGCTGCATGCAACCGACAACAGCTTTCGCTTTCAGGCCAGTGAAACTCGGCTTGCCACATCCTCCTACAGCCACGAGCAACAGCAGCAGCAGCAGCAGCCACTTAACGGCAACTGCTGCATTTTTGCATTGCGTCTGTCTAATGAAATTCTGTTGCCATTTGCTGCTGCGGCTGCTGTTGCCGTTGCTGGCGGTCAGCATTGGGTCTCCGGACTGCGTGCGCGACCTTCGTCTCGGCAGCTGCACTTTTTGGTCAAACAAAACGCCCAAAAACGTAGCCCATTCATGGCCAAATGGCCATGCCCCAACAGCCGGCCCACTGGCTGGCTCTGTGTCTGGCTGCCAGGCTGGCAGTTGTTATTTTTGGCGCAGCATCGGAACGTGCCCAGGCCCGACAACGCGGCTGTATATCTATGGCATTGGGACGATGAAGCACACATACAAACACACACACACACAGCAGCCCACACATAGAGTCAGATTCGAGTGTGTGGTTGTTGTTGCATCCTCCACGCTGTGGCATTGGCATTGGGATAAGTGTGGCAACAGGCAGCCGGCATTTATTGTTGTTGTTGTTGTATTTTTGGCATGCCGTCTGACGTTCGGCAAATGCTGGCACGCGGCGTATACGTAACGCGTTGGGGCTCTATTTTTGTTTGTGCAATTTGGTGATTCATGTTGCCGGCGTTAATGCGCTTATGGTATTGTAAGCTATGGGCTGCTGTAATCGCTTCTAGGAAAGTTTACACTGCAATCGAAACGCAGCCCCAGTGATTCAATTCGGTTGGGTAGGGCATAATCACAGTTTCCTGTAATGCC